GTCCATATATTGTTCTAAAAAGGAAGTTTGGATATGATTAAATTGGGGTCCATATGTTTTAAAATTTTGAAAAAAAAGAAACATAAATTTTCGTCAGTCTGGAGGAAGCAAATTGGGCCAAAAGGTTTAAAGGTTTGGTTTTAGGGGCAGAATGTTTTTCTGTTTTAAAAATATTTAGGTTTGTTGTCTGTATTTAATGGGTTTCGATTTTTAAATGTTAGGTAAAATATTTTTAAATAAATTTGAACATAATGAGATCTTCGTGGGATTCTGTTGTATTAAATAATCTTTTTAAATTTTAAGTTTGTGTTTAAAAATGGGGTCCTCATTAACAATTAGTTTATTGAGTTTTGGTTTTTAAAAATATACACTGTGTCAGTTTTTTTTTTCATTGAATTTCACCTTACCAAAATTAAACGGAGAATACGTGTAAATTTAAGATATTTTGTAAAAAAAAAAAAGGCACATTTTTAGTAAAAAAATTAAGAATAAAAATTTTTATTTTAAAAAAAAAAAAATAAAACAAGTTTTTCATAATATATTTGAAAGTTTTTAAAATAATTTTTTAGAAAATTTTTCCAAAATCAAATAAATATATAAAAAATAAATATATATATTATAGTAAAAAAAAACAAATACATTATTTCTTTTCAAATTCAGAATTCAAAAAAAAATAAAAACAGAATTAAACCATTTTAAACACCTGTCTTTAAGTTGAAAAAAAATAATAATAAAAAAAGTTTCAAATTAAATTTTGTTTATTTTAAACCCAATTTTAAATTTCATTCAATTTTATTTTTAATTTAATTTTTATTAAAATAAAATTAAAAATTAAATAAATAAAAATTAAAATTTTTGAAGGAAAAACAAAGACACGCGGACGTAAAAATGGAATTTTCAGTTATTTTTCTGTGAAGATATCAGGCAATGCAAATAAAAAACAAAAAATATAAATAAATAAAGAAATTTTTTTAAAAATATTTAAAAAATTTTTAATTTAAATTTTTCTATATACATATTTTTTTCATCCTTTAAAGGAAAAAAAAAAAAGTTTTTAATTGGATACATAGAAAAATTTTTTTTCATATTAATAAACATTTGCAATTTTAATGACTTTCAATACATTACAAAAGAATTTTAAAATTCTTTTTAGTTATAGTTTTATTAAATTGCAAAAAAAAATTATAATTAGAATAAAATAAATTTGCAGTATAATTATTACATTAAATTAATCAATTAACATGAACTTATCTAAAAAAAATAAGTTATTCTCTAAATAAAACATATTTATCAATTCAATACTCTCAAGTAAAAAAGCACTCAATTTATATAAACCAAAAAAATTGACACAGTGTATATTTATTTTTCTAAAAACTCAATAAACTATAATTTGAGGACCCCAAACAAACATAACTTACCTGAAAGATTATTTAATACAACAGATCCCACGAAGATCTCATTATGTTCACTACACCAATACTACCTCTTGACAACCACATCGCTAACCTATCTAAATAAACTCTCACCCAAGGAGAAACCCTTTATTAAATAAAGGATTATCATTCTGCCCCTCACAACCACTAAAACCTCTAAAAAAACGATATGAAAAATACCTTCGTAGACTGAGACTAAAAGAATATTTCTCAGACAACAAACCTACTTCTAATACAGACAACAGCGCTAACCAATCATGCTCCAAACTTCCTCCGACGAAGAACAATATATGGACCCCACCAAGCGGACGTGTGATAAACACTTGGATCAATATGCCCACAAAGCCAGACAACACATGGATTACTTCATTAAAAAACAAAGGACACCAGATAAAAAATACAACTTATCCAAAATAGAACACCAAGCCATCTATTTCTTTAAAAAACAACTGAGACATAATTATCGTACCAGCCGACAAGGGCGGAGCTATAACCATCTTAGACACTAACCACTACATTAAAGAAGCAGAATCACAACTTCAAAAATAACAGATTCTATGTACCCTTACCTCTAGACCCAACTAGCACATTCAAAACAGAATTATCACTTCTCACTCAGAACCTGAACTACAACATAAAAAAATACCATAAAATCTCTTATTCCTGAGAACCCTAAAACAGCAACATTCTACACTATCCCAAAACTACATAAACTCCCCAAAATCATTTCAGAAAAACACCCTAACACTTTTTCATCCGACCCACATCAAATTACACAATCAAATAATGAAGAGAACATCTATGAAATTTCAAAAACCCTTAAAAAAATCATGCCACCTGGTAGACCCATAATATCAGGCATTGGCACCCTCACAGAACTTATATCTGGGTACATAGACAATATCCTAAAACCTTTATTGCCTGACATACCTAGTTATATTAGAGACACTACTGACTTTCTCAGCAAATTACAAAACATTAACTTAGTCCACCATGATACAATCCTAGTAACGATGGATGTTTCGTCCCTTTACACGAACATTCCACATGTTGAAGGAGTATCAGCTTGCTATGAGTTCCTTAGTAAAAAAAAAATTACCTAACTACCAAATTACAGATATATGCCAATTAATAAAGTTCATCTTAAACATAATAATTTTAAATACAACAACAAACACTATTTACAGATTAGTGGCACAGCAATGGGCAAAAAAAATGGCACCTAGTTATGCTAATATCTTTATGCACATTCTAGAAAAGAAGATACTAGACAATTCGGAATATAAACCATCACATTTTTTTAGATATATTGATGACATTTTCTTATTATGGACTCATGGATCAGAAAAATTAAAAACCTTTTTCACTTTCTGCAACAATTTCCACGATACAATTAAATTTACCATGGAGCACTCATACACATCCATCCCTTTCTTAGACGTTATGATAAAATTAAACAAACATACACTTTCTACCAGTCTATACAACAAACCCACAAACCAACATAAATTCCTGCACTTTAACAGCTGTCATCCCTTTAAATTAAAAAAAAATCTATTGTATACAGCTCATTTCTTAGAACCAAACGCATATGCTCAGACCATTTAGATTTTCTATACAATATTAATAACTTAACAAAACAATTCCTAAAATGCAAATACCCAATAAAAATAATAAAAGAAGCACTAAATAAAACTATCCTGATAAATCGTAACACACTTCTCACATACAAGAAAAAATAAAAACAACAATCGGATTCCCATGGTTTTTAACCACAATCAATATTCCCACACACTTATTCACAATTTAAAAAATGATTACAAGAACCTCCAATTAGACAACAAGATCAAAGACATTTTCGATAAACCACCCATAAATGCAATGAAACAATCACCTAACTTATCAGCTATCCTCACCTCTACCAAATATCTAAACAATAGAAAACAAACAGGAAATTACAAATGTAACAAACCTCGTTGCTTAGTTTGCAAACATTTAGTAATAGCTAATACATTTTACGTACCCAACACCAATATCAGGATACAGCCACCTAACCTCACCTGCGATACCCATAACGTAATCTATTATTTATTCTGCAACTTATGTCCTAATAGTGGATATATTGGTGAGTCTGGAAACAATTTTAGATTTCGTTTTAATAACCATAAACAAACAATACGTCAAAACAACCCTTATTCCCCCATAGCTAAACACTACAATCAATCAGGACACACATTAGAAAACTGCAAATGTTTATTAATAGATTCCGATTTTACTTCCACATTCACACGCAGAAAAAAAAAAGAAACATATTGGATTTTAAAATTAAATACACATAAATTAGGGTTGAATAGGGACTTAGGTGTTTTAAATCTTTATAAATATTTCAATAGCTAAGCAATTTTTTTTAGATATAGTAAAAAAATATTTTTTAAAAATATTTATGACAGTTAGATTTAAGTTAGGAATATCTGAACAGTGACGTTCCATATCACGTGACGTCCGCGTCTCTCGAAGGACGCTACTTGCCAACAAACAGTAATTTTAATTTATTTGTAACAAACAGTTATTTCTGATGAAAAATTGAGGACAATTTGAAATATCAAATATATATATAAATAAATAAATACTTTCATAAAATAAAACATTATAATTTTTAATTTGAAACTAAACAGAAGAAGAAAAAAAGAAAGAAAGAAAAAAAAGGAAAATAAATTCAAGGAAAAAAGTAAATAAATAAATAAATACGAAAAAAATTAAAATTAAAAACAAAAGAAAATTGATTTAAATTTCACTAAGAAAAAAAGACAAAAAAAAAAGATAGAAGGAAGGAAAGAAAGATAGAAAGAAATAAAGAAGGAAGGAAAGAAAGAAAGAAAGAAAAGAAAGAAAGAAAAAGAAAGAAAGAAAGAAAATTGAAAGTTGGGTCAAAATAAAAAGAAGAAAATAAATAAATCTAAGAAAGGAGGAAAAGAAAGAGGATGAAAGAAAGATGAAAAGAAAGAAAGTTAAAAAGAAAAGAAAGAAAGAAAGAAAGAAGGAAGGAAGGAAGGAAAGAAAGACAGTAAGACAGAAAGAAAGAAAAACAGAAAGAAAATTGAAAGTTGGGTCAAATACAAAAGAAGAAAATAAATAAATACGCTAAGAAAGGAGGAAAGAAAGAGGATTGAAAGATAGAAAGAAAGAAAGAAAAAGTAAGAAAGAAAGATAGATAGAAAAAGAAAGAAAGAAATTTAAAATAGTAATTTGGGACAATTACATTTTCCTTGAATAAATACGGTAAGAAATAAATAAATAAATAAATAAATAAATAAATAAATAAGAAAGAAAAGAAAGAAAGAAAGAAATATACAAAGAAACAAATGAAGAAAAAAGAAACAAATTAAAATAGTAAAGGTGTGTCAAATACAAAAGAAGGAAATAAATACGGTAAGAAAAAAAGAAAGACAGAAAAAAAGAAAGAAATGATGGAAGAAATAAATAAATAAATACATAAAGAAAGAAAAAAGAAAGAAAGAAAAATTTAGATAGTAATTTGGGTCAAATACGAAGAGGTAAATAAATACG